AAATTAATACGGTTTATCAAAATAATTTTAGTACGTATCTACTATAAATCTAATGATCGGTAAATCGGCTTAAGCTTTTAAAATAGGTATTGTAATTATTATATTTGTAATTAATATTCGGAAAATGTATAGACTGTGTGCTCACCTTTCTCATGATATATATATATATATATGTCTATATTTATATATAGGTACATAATTATTAAGAATTATTTTTCTATTTCAAAATGTTAGCTTTAGGGAGTTGAAAAAATGATAAGAGAGTATAATATATTGATTCATTAATTTATTTAGTTACTACTTTATTAATGCATTGTATTGTATGATACGCTTAAATATTTTAATTATTATAAGAATTTGGGATTTATTTTTTAAGAATACTTGATATTCTCAATGCTGTAATATATATATATATATAACTTTGAAACATATCTAATTTGTGTTTTAAACACATGCGTCATGCAGATTCATAAATATGTTCACTTAATGTTAAATGTTTTCATAAAATGTTTGATCTTTATTATATAGAATATACTATTTTAATTAATTAGTAAAATAATGTCTATCGCTATTCTATTTTTTTAATTTTTTAGATGTAAATAAATTAGAATATTTGTGCACAATTATTATAATAATAGTGCATTAAAAAGTAAAAATAAACTATGCAAAATTATGAACCTTATACGTATTAAAAATTAAGTTTTTATTCAATAATAATTCAAATATACAGTACAATACTAGTATACCTATGTATAATATATTAGTATTGTAATATAATATACATTGTATATGCAATTGACTCGATGTGTTGTAAATTATATTCACTTTTAAAAATGTAAACGCTCGTGAATAGTAAATGGAATAATGAATAAAATTACTTTTACATATAATTATTCTAAAATTTTTTTTTATTTTAAGTCGAAATATACAATCTATATCAGATATGGCATAATAAATATTTATGATAAGAGACGATAGCATGAGTATACACAAAAAAAAAAAAAAAAAATGAGAAAAGAAGTCACCCAATGATAACATTTTAATGTTAATTTTTATAAATAATAATATTCTTATTTTTGACAAACTTTGATAAGGTAATTTTAAAAATAATTATGTTTAAAATTAATTTTTCAGATTATATTTATATTTTGTTTTATAATAAAATGATGGACACACTTAATAATTTTTGATTTCAAAGACCAAAATTTCTATAAGCCATAGAATTTATAATAAAAACGATTATATGTATAACAATATGTATGGGTTCAGGAAATAAAATATATTTTAATTTAGTATGTCTTTAATTTTCGTTAATAATTAATATATATACTTTTTTATTTGATAAAATTAATAAAATTTTTTTTTTATTTTAGAAAATACCAGTCCTCTTAAAAATTACATCTATCAGACGCCTGAGCAAATATCAACTATACAGTTTGAAAATGAGATCTCGCCTGTTGCTACAAATGGAAATTTAAACAGACCTTGCGCTTGGCAAAATAGTAAGTGTATTAGTTGTTTACTTATTTTACTTGATATATATTATGTGTCTTGGGTAATGCGTACGTATATATATTCTATAGAACGTTAGGATTATGGATCATCCTTTCCCTTGTTCTCACATATATTGTGGCATATATTATTGTAATAAAAAATAAATACGATGAAAATGGTTTTGTAAAAACTATTAAATATTAAAGGTGTATCATTTGCTGTGCACTTCTACTTGACGCGTGTTTTGAAGGTAATTTGTCGGGTCGAGCAATAAAAAACAGGTACCACGGTATATGCGTATACTATAAATTTTAATAAATAACAATATGATTCTATCGTTAAAAAGTAAAATCAAATTTAAATATAAATATATATTTGTTTAATTTTTTGTAATATATTGTGTACAATATAATCGTCATTTTTTTTTTTTTATAATAATTATACAACCCTTCATTATAAGTACAAAATTAATAAATATATTAATCATTTTTAAATAAAATGATAGTAGAATAGTTCACTGTAAAAATAGTATGAGTAATAAGACACTGAAAATAAAACAAAACAAAACTCTTAATATTCAAAGAAAATTGAGCAATGATTATAACGCGCGTGATTTTCAAACATTTTTTAAATAAACTCATACAAGTCGTACATAAATATGAAATATAATGTAACTGAATTTTGAAATATTATGTTAATGTTCTAATGTTTCTATTGATCTTTTTTTGATGGTAATTAAATATATCTAATATTATGCCTGAACATATTTTACGCATAAGACTAATATTGAAATAAAATTACACAACAAAATAATCAAATGAGGATTACCAATATAATTGTAAGTGGAAAATTTTATTGATGTTAGGTAATGCAATTTATTGATTTATCTAATCATTGTGTACTAGCAATTAGAAAATATTATCATAAAATATTACGTAAGTTTACTATATTATAAGATCATGATTCTTATTGTTGCATGTGCGACGTACGTACTTTTTGTTCAATTCAATTGTTATATTTTTTTAAAGAAACTGAACATAGTATAGTCATAAGGTATGTAATACCATATAATAGTCTCATTTTACGGTATACAGTCGTTAAAATGTACGTTGCTTACCTACATACAGAACTCAATTTATTGTTATTATAATATCCACAGTGTTTTGTGGTAGGTATATTCTTCCAAAAGCTAATAATAATAATATGGCAACATAGAAGGGTGGATATTTACTAAACAGGAGATTACGGCGTTATTACAGGATTGCATGTCAATATTTTATTACCTAGGTAGCGCCTTTCACTTTATTCTCGTATTTTTATTTATATTTTTTGATATAAAAATATAAAGACAGCCCTCGTCGTCAATTAAACTAGAATATGTACCAACATGTTAAGCTTTAACCTACTTGTTCAAAATTGGTTTACATTATAAAATCTATGTCAGATTTTATTGTAACTGAATTACTAAGACTAAAATACCTTACTTATAGAATAGCGTGTAATCGAACGTGTTTGTATTATATTATGTACAAATATTTGCTTGTAAATATTATATATATTATTTACATATTTCATTTACTGGTGCCAAAATAGTTTAATTTATAGGAATACCTAGCATAATAATATTTTATAACATAAAATATTTCTATACTATTGATATGAAGAAAAATTAGATGATATTGCTACCTCTGAAAATTGACATTTTTTTTATGAAAGTTGTACATTTTTTTCATCGATAAACCTATGCAATGTTTAATTTATTTATTTTTTTTATTTTGTATAAATAGGTACCTTATAACTTAAATATTTCACGTTTAATAACTTATTCTGTATACAACTACAATTGGAATGGTTAAAAATAAATTATTAATAACTTTACATGTTTTGATGACTTGATATTTACAGTATTATAATATATAGATAAAAAATCAATTTTGTATTAACAAATATCATAGGAAATATATGAATCACTAAAATATGAACTTATAGTCATAGAAAAACGTCATATGCATTATTATGGTTGTTGGAATTTACTATCTGTACATAGTGTTTTTATTGGTGGAAAATGTATAATGTATTTATATCTATAAAGTTACAGAGGGAAGACTATCTTCCACTCTATCACCCCTGAAGGCTGTCCTACCACCAACCTCGCCTAGCTATAGGAAAATCGGGAGTTGTTCGTGCCGTATAAAGTATATAGTGTTTTATTAGCGCGTGTATAAGCACGCGAATTTTGATCACTCTGAAGTTTAGAGCTGTACTCGCCGAGCTCAGTGAAGCACAAGAACTTACCGAGCTTTGACACATATTTTCACTCATTTTCATAGAACTATTATTATACTCGTGCAAAAGGTATGTTATATTATATATTAATAGTAAAGCATAATGCAAGTAAATTATATAATATTATATGTGCATATAATATTTACACATTTTATATACTTAAATTAATTTTACTGTTTTTATTATATTCTATGTATTTCATAGACAATAATAATCTTCGTAAGATAACTGTTAGAACATACTATTTTTTTTGATTTTAATTAGATAATTAAATCTTAGCATTTTGCTTACTTTATTACAAAATGTATAACAATTATGTTGTTAAATGGTAACTGCGTTAATATTATTTATATTTTTTATTTAAAAAATGTAATGATGTATAGTAGTTCTGTTTAACCGATGCAAATAAGTAATAAATTAATAAACAGTAAAAAAAAACAAGTAGGTGAAACCGTATTAACTTTTTAAAAGTATTTTATGTATAGTATTCATTTATACAACCAAAAATTATTAAGATATTTACAATTGCTGTTAAAAAAAAATAAAAAAAAAATACCGGATTAAATGATTTTTGTGCAGTCGTAAATAGTTATGAAATAATTTCCTATAAATTGTAAAATAAACAGCATATAATAGTTATACGTATGTACAGGTATGTAGTTCATTTTTGGGGTCTCTATAACTATTATAACTACATAGACGTTTAGTTTATACATGTATTGCTCCGGAAATCGATGGATGACGTGCAATGTGGCTTTTGGTAAAATATAGTAGTTTTTCGTTGACTACTCCTCTTCCCACACTGTCCTAAAAACATACTGAATAATCGATTCTGCCCCATTTTGTTCGTGCAATATTATATATATTTATAGTTTGTGTGTGTAGGCATGATGTCAGTTTGTATATTATTATAATATGTATATGGTATACACAAGTATATTTATGTATTTATAAGTGTTCGACGCGCGATTCAATATAGTTACGATTCGTCAACGGTGTGTATTGTATGTAAAACGATGTACCTAAATGTTGTGATTATCATTTTTAGGTGATCGCAAGAAATGGATGCATAAAATACCCTTTTAAAAATGTATGCATAACATAATATTGTTTGCTGTATAACATATAGTCAATATTATCGTTTTAAACGACAAACGCGCGTTTAAATTAAAATAATATACTATATATACATATAGCGCGTAAATAATATATTTTAATTAATATACACATGGCATCGTATAACTGCGATACAAATTGTGAATACTAACAAAATTCATTAACGATAAATAAAAAAAATAAAATGGACAACAATCGTCGAAGTAGCATTGTAGAACCAACGGGCGGCGGTTACGCACCGGATACAAGAAGTCAATTGAACACGGTAAGAGACGAATATTTTCACAGTATATTGCACTGCTTGAGGTATAACACAGGTATATATAATTTATTATTAAAATATTGTATTATTAAGTATACATGGAAACAGGCAGAGTCGCAACAAAAATAATTATACTACATGTACCATGTCCTCTATATGTAATAATTATTGGAAGTAGATTTATTTGTATAAAAAAGTTTCAGTATTGGAGGGTTACTTTTATTTTAAGCCACATTTATTTACCATTTTATGCCTTCAATTGTCAAAGAAATATTATAACTAGGCTTAAGTACTTCTAACTCTAAAAATTTTTTATTATTTAACTGAAAAATTACATAATTTATATATTCATTTAATTTAATTTTTTTTTTATTATCATAAATGATTTTGCGTAAAAAATAATTGATTTAAGAAATATTGATCAAACTCAATGCTTGATTGTGGGCCTAAAATACAAAACAAAACAATAGTTAATAGACAATTTTTTTTTTAAATTATCCACTAACTTTTTATCTTTAAAACTGTACTATATACTATTAAACATATATCTGTAGTGGTTATTTGAAAGCAAGTTTTCATATTTTGAATAGGTTCGTTCCACACCAATGGATCAAAACGGTGCATACTAAATCATCATTTGTTGGATCTTTAGACATTCCATCCATGTCATTTTTTAAGATTTTAGACATTTCACTTAATAATTAAGTAATAAAATTATTTATTTTGAGTATTTTCTAAAACACTTAATTAATTAGATAGCAAAATGTTTTGTTTTTCCAAAAATGTTATAAACTCCAGTAAAAAACCAAAGTTGAATTTTATTAACGTTAAATTACATGGTAGATTGTTATTATCTTAATATTTTTTAACAGTGCAAATCGATACAGTATCATATCGCTTATTGTCTGTATAACTGATCGAATTTTTATAAAGTGTTCACAATAATACAATTTAACGTTAATTTAAGGACCCTATAATAATATGAGCAATAATAGTATTTTATTGTTTTTAAATAATTGCATACGTATAAATGTTTTTTGAAATATTTGTTTCACCGAAGTTACTATTTTATCAACATCAGAAAATTCATCTCGTAGTTTTTCAGCTAGCCTATGCAGAACATGTACCAAACGACTACATGGATAATTTTAGAGTAAAGGGTTTATATTGCAATCTCGGCTTTGACCATAAATACGAGGTTGCATTGCTTAAAAAATAATAACACGTTAACACGTTGTCATTTTGAACCCGGCCAGTAGGCCATAAAATAATTGAAATCCCCATATCTTTGTCGAATAATTTAAATATTGTTGAGTGGTTTGTTTCCTCTAATTCTTTAGAATGCAATAAAAATATTGCACTTGTCCTATCAATTTCTAACGTCCCAATTTTAACATTTGCTAGAAAACATCTAATAGTGTCTGTAGTTTTTTCGATTGAAACAAATATCTTTTTTTTTAACTTAGATCCTTATTTTACAAATAATTTCTTGATAAATATCATCTACGTATTTCTTACATATAGCCGATTCATTAGATATCAATTCATTTGTATATTTTTCTAAAAAAGTTTTTGAACTAATTTGATAACTTATTTAGAGGAATATTTAACAACAACAAAAATTTGCATAAACCTTGATTAAAAAAATAATTTTTTCCGGAATTTGAGTAACTTATTTTTGTGTTACCTTATTATTTTTATTTTCATTTCGCTGTACCTCTAGAATATTCTTTCCAGTTTTGAGATGTTGGATAACGTTTATCACTCTCCCTTTTAATTCACAGAGCTTACACTACTTATCTACATAATAAAATATGTCCATCAGATTAAAATACCTCTTTAAACTTAGTAATAAAACTTTGTAGATGACTACTTGTCGATTGTAGTATCCTCGGTATTTTAACGACACAACTGTACATAAAAAATCATGATAGACAGAGGTCGACTAACACAACCATTTTATAAAATTATGGAATGTGGTCTATATTATAGACTATACAATTTATTTAATGTATCATTTTATCTAATCGTGGGTAAATGAGGATCCTGTCGAGAAAAATACGATAAATTGACTATTTTAAAATAAGTTTTTATTTCACTATATATTGGCTATAACACATATTTAGCGCGAATGCATTCGAACAATAAAAATTGTCTTTATAAATAAATACTTTCATAGGTTTGATACAATGGCCTTTTATAGCAATTAAAAGTTACATACTCATAAAATATGCTTTAATAAGAAAAAATATATTGAAATATGGAATAAATAAATATTTATATTTTACTCCACTTCTTTTTACTCAATTTAGAAAAAAAATATGCAAATGCTACAAGTTCCTAAGCCTAATTATAACAATGTATAATGTAATTAATTATTAAATACGCCATTATAATAAATTATTATGTACCTACATAAAAAAATTAAAAACAATCAGATGATCGACAACAAACACATAACTGTCATATTATTGTATTGAAAGTATCTATAACCTATTAATGAATTATGATAATAATTTATAATATGCGTGTTGGATTTAAATTTTATACAATCTTTTACATAATATTTAGGGTGAAGTTTAATATTATATAGTCGTCTGAGGCTTAAAGTAAGTTTATGAACTCAATAAAAGGCGTGCTATGCACAAAATAATATAATAATTATTTGTGACAAATACTTTATTGCTTGAATGACAGAATTAAAATACAAAAAAATTAAAAATAATAAGTAGAGCCTGAATTTACTCTTTACTAGAGTAGAATATTTTTTGAGGAGTATGATTTTTAATTTATAGATTTTGTATATTTTACAATAGAGAACAAATTAAAGTTAAAGTAATAGAATAATTAATAAAGTGGAACTTATAACAGGATTTTAAACGTTAAAACATAAATATTTTTGTCTAATTAAATATTCAATAAGAAGTTAACTGTTTGCGAAAAGCCCACGTGCATGTCTGTAATAAATATACGTTTGTATTTTTTTCGTTATCAGACGACAGTACAACCTAAGCCATCGCAGCGAGCGCCTGAATTTCATTCGAGACCGACACGGCCAGAATTCTATCAGCAAGGCCCTTACGGCACAACAAATAAGCCACAGGGACAGCAACAACGGCCGCCAACGCCGAGGATGCCTGGTGACAATAAAGCCAGTCCCTGGAATATTATCCGACAAACTTTGCCACCGGATGTCGGGGTCCGTGGTTCAGTACAGCTGCAACAACAGCGTGGGCCACTGCCCCAAAACTATAACAACATTAACAACAATACCATGCAACAGAGACCACCATTGCAACAAGAGCAGCAACAGTACAGACAACAGATGCCGATGCAGGAACGTCGTGGCCCTGCACCTCGAGTGTCTGAGGAAAGGCCGCTGCCGCAATTCAGATCGGAAAATGGTAGACAAGTGAGAACCGTTGAAGGTGGTGCCGATGACGACGAAGAAGTGGTAGTCAACTCTACTATAAACCAACAGTTGCAGCAACAGCAACAGTCGATGCTAAGTCGAAGGGATTCAGTAGTACTTGCAGGTAGCCGAACCGGTGATGGAATAGCTGATCCAAACAAGCAGTGGCAGCCGAAGGCGGCGGCACCGGGGGCTGTGCCGTATGGAAAACCGCAGCCACAGGAACAACAGTACGGTCGACAATCATTGATGATACCCGAGGGCCAGGAGCAGACACGCTTTCCAGCACAGGCAACTGGTGGATATAATAGCAACAGACTAGCGATGATGCAGGGAGACGACAGCAGTAGACAACCAGCGCAGGCACAAAATGGCATGCAAAAGTCCAGAGATGTGCAGCCACAACAACAGCAACAAAAACAACAACAGCAAAATTTGTTGACGAGACGGGATAGTGTATTTGACGCAAATACTGCAAAAGTCAATACAGAAATGATGTCGCGCAGGAACGACGGGATGGCCGAGTATGGAAGGAGACCGGGGCCGGACTTGCGAGATGATAGTGGCAACAGGTGGCAGCCGGAGCTAGTCGGTGGAGGCCGGAGACCGCCGCCCATGCAGGACTCGGTGCAAGAGGATGGCAAACGACCGGCTGCCGAATATAAGGAAGACATGAGTGGCAGACGTTTGACGGATTTCAAAAACAGTAGACCAGAAGCTGGTGCCACCGTCGACTTTGGGGCGGCTGCCAGACAGGTGAATGCTGTGGCCCGGCCGGACGATAAACCGTATGATAGACAGTCTGTCAGAGATTACGAACAACCAAGGTACGAGCGTAAAGCGTCACTAGAAAAAGATCAACCTGTCCCGAAAGCGGCGGCGGTGGAACACGGCAATCGAGCGTCGGAACTTAGAAAGTTGCACTTCGACTCCACTTATTTAAAACCGGTCAGAGAGCAACAGCAATATGTAGCTAACGATGACAGTAAGGTGGCCGCAGCGCGTGGCAGAGTGTCGCAAGTGGAAGAGACGAGAGCTAGGGATTATGCGGTCGCGGCGGTGAAATCGACCGGTGACGGCAACCCGCCAAACGAACGATACAAAGCGACATTCACCGAGGCGGCAGACGGTGCTAAAAGTGGAAATGACGAGGTCGTGCCACAGATGAGTAAGAACTCCAGGCCCGATACTTTAAAAATAATTAAAGGTATTATACTTTTTCCAGCAGACTGATTACGTGCACTATAGTCACCTTCTTACATATTGCATAATTTATTTATTAATTAAAATCTTACCGGCCGAATACATTTGAATAGTTTTATGAATATATTAAATTGACAATAATATTATAATGGCAGACAAAATGTGACATAACAATGTAAAGGTTAACTTTACAAAGCAATAAATATAGAATATTTGTGTTATATTCAAAATATTAAATAATTTATGACTAATAGTATTTTTTTACCACATTGTTGAGCGAATACGCCATATTATTGTATAATATTTATATTACATTACATCTACACGTAGGTATACTTGAGACTTATAACTGTAAAATTTAATTTAACCAAGTATCTACACCGGAAATATACACGGTGATACTGAACGTTGAAGTATCATTTAACTAATATACCATTTATAAAACATACCTAACCTATACCTTCACCAGCACCGTTAATCATATATAAATATAAATCTTCATTGTATTATGAAAATCATGTTGTGTTCTATAAAAAAACACTGTAGAGATTATATTTACCGATATCACTTGAAAGATGCACATTTGGCATTACTGCACACAAATATTGAATCATTGAAAATAAGTTTAACATAATATAATTTGCACTTAATTTTATCATATTATTACGTTACGGGTAAAGGAAAATTATGCAAATATATTATTATATAATATAGTTATAATATACATTAGTACGTTTTTAAATAAATATACCAATCAATATTTTATTATCGATTTGTATAATTGTAATATATTTTAATCTATAAAATTCTGTTCAAGAAATAACTGTTTGAACTCGTATAATAACAGCATATAATCAAATTATTAAAATTATCTACTTATAGAATATATACCTACGTATTACTATAGATATATTATATCAACAATAATTTAAATTGCATGCCTATGTAATATTATATAATAATAAAATTACATCGTTTAAAATAATGTTTTGAATATTTATATATTTAGGTACATAAATAAATGGTAAAAAAATATTAATGAATATGTTTTATCTGCTTATATTTTTCAGACAATGAACCCCTCAAAGATTTGTCAAACTCGAAAGTAAGTAATCTACAACGTGTTTATTTTTTAATTTCTTATCCATTATAGTAGATTGTATATATGTGCCTATACCAGCTATTTATTTAATTCCTAATTTAGAAGAATATCATGATTTGTAGGTATACTGCAGAATCATCATTATACATTATAATTGATTATACCTATAGCTATAAAAGTAATACGTTTATTACTATTGTAAATGTACAGAGTGATCGTCGTAATGAAAACGACGTGGGCAAGTCGCCGAGCAAAATCCCGAAAAAAGACCGGTCAGAATTGAAAACGCCCACTCGAGCCGTTACACCAAAGTCTCCCGAGAACTTGATGTCTATTGGACAAAAGAGTGAGTAATAAATTGATAATAATGGGGTTTTGACTGTTTTGAGGAATTTAATAAAAAATTAGATTGATTCTTTATTACTATGTTACATTTAAACTACTTTTATCAGAGTTGCCGATGAATAAAGTGCAAGTGGGATCTGCACCATCTCCAAATCTCAAGGTAGTTCGATCGAAAGTCGGATCACTGCAAAACACCAGTCACAAACCAGGTGGTGGGCAAGTGAAAATTGAAAACAGAAAACTCGAATGGAAAGCCGGTACGAGAGTTGAGGCCAAAAACGACGCGTATGTTCCCGGTGGTGGCGATAAAAAGGTAGTAATAATATGTACCCCTGTATAATATCGTAAAAATTGAATGTGTGTACCTATTTTTAGCATCAAAGCGCGAAATACGTTTAAACTCTATTTCTAAATCAACCTACACTTTTACTATTTTAGGATTGTCATTACTCTTTTGTACTTAGTTATATTGAATGTCATTATAATTTTTATGCCTTGAAAAAATCACTTAAAGTTCGATAAATAAATGAAATTTTTTATAATTGCTAAAAATGCTTAGGAAAGTTTAACTAACATGCAATGATTTTTAATTTTACTGAAATTTGGTACAGATCATGACTCATGAGTTAAAAAAAATATTTTGGATATTTAAAATGGAAATAAAATTATTACTTGAATATTGAGTTTCTAGCTTATTTAATAGAAAATTGTAATTATTAAAATATTTAATTATCCACTAGCTTAACCAGTCTATTATTTATTTTTTATATTACTATATATTATTTTATATTTTTATCGTTAAGTTATATTAGTTATTGTTTATTTTATTTTAATTAAATTATAATTATTAGACCTTTTACACTTCAACCTGTAATTTTTATCTTTGAAGATTCAAAGTGTTAAACTGCAGTGGAATGCCAAACCTAAAGTAGGTTCATTGGACAACAAAACACACAAGCCTGGCGGTGGTGACAAAAAAATCGAAACTGTTAAGCTCGATTTCAAAGACAAAGCAAAACCGAAAATTGGATCTAAAGACAATATTAAACACACTCCCGGCGGAGGAGCTGTCAAGGTAATATTATAATTATAACCATGGTGGTATAAAAATTAAAATTAAACATGTATTTTTTATTATATTAATAATTTATAATCTTTGTTGATTATATCGTCTAACTATTATTTATACATTATACGTGTAATACATTCGTTCTGTCGTCTAAATTATAATTTATAACATACCACAGTATAAATTAAAATGTTCTAAGTATACCATGACACATAAACTTTAATCTAATTTTATATTTAATTTTCTGTGTTCAAAACTTCTTGATTTTTAATTAATTTGTTCAATCAAAAATGATGGTTAAAACTCATGCTTGCTTAATATCTGTCGTCTTTCTGATCGTCTATTTTCTGTATAAAAATGTATAGTGAAAAACTTAATTTTCTTCTATTTTACGAACCGCAAATGCTTGTGAAAGTGTTCATGCTAACCTTAATGTAATGTATTGTAGTCACCCTATTATATTCCAATTTATCGACGCCTTAAATGAAAGTAATTTCATCTACTGCTGTACAAAATTTAAAACGAACAAAAAGAAAAAAAAATTGTTAAAAGGGAGGCATTTATCAGCAAACAAATGTTGCAATATTCAAGTTGTGAAATCAGTAAAGTATCATTTATACTGGCGGTTTCAAAAAAAATGTTGTCTGAATTCTGAAAAAGTGTTAAAGGGCAACTCACGTGATTTTTATTAAAAAGAATTCTGTTCGCAATTAGTATTATGACAACGAAACTCGTGTCCGCAATTGTTTGACTTATGTTATAATATTGACCTGAATAATTTGTCCGCAAATAGTATCTATCTACATAATATAGTACCACAGTGGCGTAGCCAGAATTTATTTAAGGGTAGGGTGGGGGGCTGCATGGCTACACGAATATCAGTAAATGTATTTCATTTGCTGATTTATTATTGTTTCATTATTAGTCATTACAAATAAATAAGTATTACATTATAGACGGTGATGGGAATAGAATTTAATAGTATTAAGTCCATTCAAATAACTTCTCAAGCTTCTTAAGCGATATTTTATTATTTTAAAGTTATCATTTATGAATTAGATTCTATTTTGGTATATTTTTAATTGGCCTGGCGCCTTGACCCCGTTGATAATTAAACAATTTTTTTTTATTTAATATTTAATAAAAATATAAAAACAAATTTCTTTTGTAAGAAACATATTGTGTTTGGTATCTAAATGAAAGATTTATTGAAAAAAACGTTAGACCTTATTTAATGGAATTTGATTAAATTATCCCCAATGAACTACACATGATACATACATTGCTAATAAAGGTATCTTACTATACAGGAATCTTGTTAATTGTTATAGGTATGATAATGTTATAATAAATATTTTATAGATAATTTTATTAACAGAGGATCCTGCAAACAAATATATGCATATTAAATTTATATTACGTAGGTATTAAATTAGCATTGATTTTAATAAGTACTAGGAAGTGTTAACAATCAATGGTATTATTGGTACTTATAATACCTATATATTTATGTTATGATATTTTACGATATTGGCTAATAAATAATAATATTAGGTACCTAATCTAATACATTTCAAAGTTTTATATATTAATGTGCAACAGCTTACTTTTTTAAAGGTTTATCTTTATCTTTATATTTTTAAAACTTCATTTCAAACAAGATTCTAATAATAGTCATAATGACCTCGTTATGTTCTATATCAAGAAGGCTGCAATATTTTTTTTACGGAAAACCATATTTTAATTTTTTAGAGCCAATCCATACAATTATTAGAAAAGGAATCGCACGACGTGAGTAAATAAATAATTAGGTCACAAAATGCGTATGTATCTATACGTATACATAATATATGTGTGGTGTGTGTGTATTTATATACATATATACGAGATACCTACTCGTATATAATAATATAGGTATATTCACCAAGTCACAACGCTTAATGCATATAAATATTTAGGTAGGTAAAATATTATATATTTAAAATATGCAAAATTTTTTGTACAAAACGAGTGTGCGTGTTCATATCTTACACTGCAATACTATAGGTATACATTATACTATGCAGTACCTACCTACACCGTTTCCACAATCTTTATAATTTTTATACACTGATTGTTTTGCGTTAATTTTGGCCTCTGTAAATATTTATACATATTATATAAACATATATAAAAATATATCGTTTTAAGTGTGTTATTTACCGTATAAGAAAACAGCAATCCGTTTCAAATCATATTATATATGGAGCTATCGAAAAAATTTGTTTTACAGAAAACGTTAAATAAATATGATTTATAATAGGTAGGTACCTACTTATGTGAATATCTAATCATAAATCAGTCCACAATTCCACATAAGTGTAATGTTAAATATTTTGTAAATGACGTAGGTTCTACCTAGTGAAAATATAATGTTCCATCTTATTTGCTAAAAAAGTAAATATTTCTATTATAATGCTTTTTATAATTATTTGTAAGATTATAATTTACATAAAAAATGAAAGTTAGGTAAGACCTATAATTATGATAATTCAATAAAATGTATGGAACGCAATTAAATGTAGTGATTATAAAAAAAATGTTATTACCCACTAATTGTTAAAGAAATTCAATTATAAATAGATACTTCTTTTATTTTATTGATCATCCGATTTGTATTAAGATGTGAGATTATTCATTTTAACTATGTACAATGTACATTGTCTACCTACAGAATGATTCATAAAGAATACTGGCCACTCAGTTTTTTTTATTATTCTAAAACTTAACAAATTCTAAATGTGTTATAGAAATAAATAAAAGAAAATCATCAAATTAAAATCAAAATTCTAATGAGTACCTAGTATATGATTTATTAAAATATACATAAGAATAATAGTCCTAAAAGATGATTTTACTAAAATATAAAATAGAAGTAAAATCAAAGCTAATAAGGCCAATAAAGGTATGTTAATAGTGCTTAGATATTTTTATAAATTATAAAATGCATTAATATTAGTTGCAGTAATTACTACCTATTTTCAAATCATCATAACCCTCAACTTCTAAAATTAATCTTCTAGATACCTATTATCCTTAGTAAGTGCTAGGATACTAGGTAGGTACCTATCTACTTTGAACACAACTACTTTAAAAATTAAAATATTCATATAACCATAGTAATACAAGAAAATAAATTGATTCTTATTTGAAAAATATTAAAAACGCCTTAAATGGTGTAAAAGTCAAGTCCTTAAGTAAGTATAGAATTTGTATTAATTATTAAATAAAAATAACGATACGCATGCTTAATGAATTATCTATATAGGTATTAAAATATCTACATCGGCAGTTCTTAATCCCTACATATATACACATAAAATTATATTTGCATCAACGGATTGCTGAGCTATAAAAACATACCAACGCTATTCCCGTTTTACGTGCACATATAAATCGCATATACTATACTAATTATAATTATATTTATTACTAAACTTGTATTATTCAAATTTATTATAGATTGAGGATCAAAAATTGGATATAAAAGCTCAGAGCAAAGTTGGATCATTAGACAACGTGAAACATAGACCGGGCGGAGGAGAGGTGAAAATATTTGACGATAAAAGTTATATAAAACAAACAACCGCAGGACAGACCGGCACACCGACAAAAACGCAGGTAAACTTTGCTATTAATATAATTATCTTGGTATTTTATTAACGTTCAATGTAGGTATTATGAAATTACAGTAGATGAGGCACCTAAGATATAAGGTAATTGTTTTAATGCAGAATAAAAATTAAAATTAGAGCCTGCCTAGGTTACTAGCCGATGTTAATGTTTAAAAAAAAATAAATTTATTTTTTGAACTATCACTCACAATTATAGATATTTAGATGAGCAAAAAGTGCAACAATATTTGGTATATTTTACTTCATCACACCTTCATTTTCAAATTTAAACACCTGTTCTACCTAACTATTTAAAAATAAAAATGTAAAATTATCAGAGAGTCAAATTAAATTTTATTTTTAAATTTGCAGTACCTATTCTAATATATAAAAGCTTAAAACTATATATAATAATAAACTTAACTTCGAAGGAGTTCATTGATTAGTTTGATTACTGTTTTCAAAATAGTTTTCTATGATACTCGTTTGTATCACCTATAACCTAGATAGACTTATCTAATAATCTAAAGATACTTCTTAAAAAAGAATTCTTAATGTTTAATTATAAACAAGTTTATATAAGTAACACTTCTTACCACTAAATATACATTATTATCATTGATTATTATTAAATGTTTATACAATAGTTATACAAGTACAAATTTGTATTATTCATAATCACCGCATTATGCTTATTATAAGGGCTTTATTACACTAGACATAGGTATTTAAAAAACACAATGTTTGTATAAATTGCACAGCTTTATTGATTATTTACAGAGCTCGAGATCATCGCAAGTCGGCAATGTAGCTGAACAAGAAATTTAGACTACCATCATCACTTCATAAGCATTATTTTATTATTACGTATTTCATCCTTGAAGTACACATTATATAATAATAATATATAGTATTAATGCTTTTGATAAGGCTCTATTAAAGCCAGAGCACATATTATTGTGCATTTGTTATTACTGAATAATATGTTTGCACAACCATAAAACATTTGCTGGTACATGTACGTATTAATAATAATCAAATGTAAAAAGCATTGATTTGTACTAAGTTTTATTGATTTTAAAATATAACTTTATTATCACTTTTTTTGACACAACAACAATATTGTCGTTATCGCATTTCATTGTTGCATAGCTCCAGAGAAGTTCTAGTTTGAAAAGTCCAATAAGTATGAAGTTATATAGCCCTGACGAGCGACCTAAAAGTCATGTGAAAATTGTCGTTACACCAACAAGCGAGGAGGATTTGTACAATAAAATAGCAACAGACAACAGTAAAGGAGGATCTAGGAGATCAGTTTTTATTCGATCACCTTCACTACATAATAATATAGTTATACCAGAAGAGGCAGTTAAAACAAAAAAATGATAAAATGTAATTATAATTTAAGAACTATGTGTTTTTCCATTAATCGTGCAGTACGTTTTCATAAAAACATTCCAAGTGTGGCATGAGATTACTACATGTACATATCCTGATATTAGTAGCATAATTGAGATGTTGGAATTTAATGTTTTAGATATAATATCCACATTTGTGTGATAATAATAATAATAATAATAATAAAAAAAATTAATAAATGGCTTAATTCAAAAAATACTGATACAAAATCAAATTATAATACAGTAAGTACAAGAATAATTATGGAATAAATTGCATATTTAACTAAATAGAAATTAATAAGGAAAAAAAAATCAAAACAAAATTCAGTATATAATAATGTAAAATTTTCAACAAAAGGGAAAATAAATTGAATAGGTACATAAATCTTGTTACAGGTTTGAACTCGTCTCGATTATTTTTAGCCCAAAGCAAGTCATAATATTAACTTAAATTTTAACTTTTGGTCAATGGTAGTATTTCACTAACTATTTACACTTTAAAATTTAAAATTTAATTTTAGTATAACTAGAATGTTTATAACACTCCAAAAATAAACCAAAAATTCATAACTCACTAAAAAAAAAAAAAAAATTGTTAAAAATTATTGATATTATTTATGGTGTTTCTGGTAGAGATTCCAGTCTAAAGCTATGAAAATACTCCATTTCCAATATTTTTTCAGCAGACATTCTGTTTGCAGGATTGTAGGTACACATTGCCTGTTTTTAAAGAAAAATATATTAATTTATAATATTAAAATCATGGTTACTTACACTTCCTTATATTTAAGAATAAGCTTAAGTTGATTTAATTTTCATATTATTGAAAATTATGGTATTTTATAATTTGGGATTAAAAGAAAAATATGTTAAATTATTCATTATCTATAATATTAAAACATAACATTATTTTCATATGCTATTAACTAATAAATAGTAATTTGTAATCAGAAATTTTGTGATTATTTTCAAATATTTACATAACATTTAGTATTTTTTACAGAATATGTAGTATAGAAAATAAATCTTAGAATTTTTAATTAAATACTTTCTTAGTTTCACTTGTACTTATTTATAAGAAATAACAGTTAATATGTAATATAAGAATATGATATGTTAAGAGATATTGTTACTATTATTTCTTCAAACAATTTTAATTATATTGAATATCACTATCATATTTAAAAAATAAAAATAAAATTAATGATAAACATGTAATCTTGTATAAATGAAATAAATAATATTATTTTAAATAAATATTTTATACCTATAAGCAATCAAATTCCATGTTTTAAAAACCACTAATCAAAGGTGGTATACATTAATAAAAAAAAATATTTTTATTAAAATTTAAGCCACTATTATACTTTGAGGTATAAAATTAAAATTAATATTAATACTTTTATAACATTCATTTTATTGTCAGCTATCAACTAATAGCACATATTTTTTTATGTGACTGTAGTTATTTTTGTTTTGATTTTAATTCAAATATTGTTAGTGTTTTTATTATTTTGTTAATAAACACTTTTACTCACATAAAAAACTTTTTGTTGATTTTTATCAGAGAGTTCAGGTAGGAAATCATCAATAAGACGTGCTTCCCATAGTGGAAATAATGGTTTAAAATCTGGTAATTTATGTACTCCAGGCCATGTAACATCTGTTGGAGTTCCAAGAGTCCGAAAAATTCTAAATAATTGGTCAATTTCTGAATCACCCGGAAACAATGGCCTTAAAGTCATCTATTTAAATTAAAAAAAAAAAAGTTGAAATAATCATATTATTTTTGTTTAAAACATTTTTTTTGAATTCTAAAGTAAAAATAATATACACATTTTAAAAACTCACCATTTCTGTAAATATACACCCAAGGCTCCAAAGATCTACAGCCATAGTATATACCTTGGCTCCTAACAATATTTCAGGAGCTCTATACCATAAAGTTATAACTTCATGTGTATAATTACGTAGAGGGAAAGAAAAGGCTCTAGCCAATCCAAAATCTGCCAATTTAATTATACCACCAGCAGTATTTACCAAAAGGTTTTGTGGCTTCAGATCTCGATGAACAATGCGATGGATATGACAATATGCTAAAGCATTTAGTATTTGGTATAAGTAACTCTGAAAGTTTAAAATAATTTTATAAAAGTACTTCCCAAAATATTAAAAAGCAAATAAGGTTAAAATAAATTTATGAAATGTTAACATAAATATTGCACAAAAATTATGTGTTATAAATATAGAATAAAGTAAACAAGTACACTAGAAATACATTTAAAAATATGATAAAGTATACAAATAAATAAAATTTTCATAGGTTATTAATGTAGGTACTTAGAGTCAGGAGTGATAGGTAAGTGTTAAGAAAATGAACAACTAGAAACCTAAATGATGAAGATTGAATCAGTTTCTCTATTATAAATTGTCGTAAGACAAAAAATAAATAAATAAATACTATTCTAAAGTGAATAAATCATTTTCAATATAACCTTCTGTTTATTAATCTCTAAAATTGAAAATATGTGTTTTATGTGAATAAATAAATACTCAATAATTTGAGTTTAATTTATTAACTCATTTTAATACTTTTTGTAATGATGTGTATGATGTATGTGTGCGAATATCATACATAAATAATTATTTAAGAATATGAAGTATGCAATATGTCAATATGACATTTTTTTAATTAATTTAAAACTATGAAAATCAAGAATTTCAATTTCTAAGCAAAGTAAACAAAAATGATTTTGATTTAATTTAGTTTTTACCTATCCCAAATAGAAAATATTCATTTTATTAATATATAATTATAAATTGGATAAGAACTATTAATAACATCACTATTAAACAAGGTTAATGGTTTTATAGGATAGTAATATCTATAAATATTTTCTTTTATAACTAAATCTCACCTTAATTTGAGGTTCAGGTAATCCAAATCCAAATTCTTTTCTCCGCAATTCTAATACTTTTTTTAAATCATAGTCCATAAATTCAAATACTAAAAATAACTTCTTGTCAGACATAATGACATCATGGAGCTTAACAACATTTTCATGGTTTATTTCCTTCAACAGAGAAATTTCTCTCATGGCTGTAGAAGGTACACCTTCTGCACTTCTGTACAATTTATTAAAAACAGTTACAACGTACATACACATAAAGATGTTACAAACAGTCAAGTGGACAAAACTATCATGTGATTGGTAGGAGAATATTCCAAATTGCTAAGTGGTGACTTGTATTTCTGGCAAAAAAAAAGAAAAAACCAAATCTAAATAGAAAATTGTTGAACAAAAACTTACGATTCCATCCTGACTTTTTTCAGAGCAACAAATTTGCCAGTTTGCTTGTCTAATGCTTTGTATACAACCCCATATGTTCCCTCACCAATCTGCTCCAGCTTGTCATAGTTGACGTTAATGCTAACATTTTTTGTAGGACCTTCCTTCACAAACTGTCTACTTTTCACAGCGCTCTACAAAAATATTCGCAAGGTGCGACACGCGCAAGTATATAGGTAGGTAATTGGATAGGTATAAATATAAATATAATGCAATAATAATAAATCATTACTATCTTACACGTAACACTACATACCTGCATGTCTCGTTGGCCGCCGTGAGAAGCTTGGAATACGGGGATAGGCACAGGAACAATTGAAAATCGAGTATTTGTAGCACAATCAATAACGTTCAAGATCCGTCAGTTGAATAGAAAGCTGATCGTAAACCGTCCTATGTCTAGTAGGTGTCACAGTGAAAAGAAATTAATATAAATTGCGAAAAAAAAAATGATGGAAAAGAATTACGTCCGGTCAAATATATAGTGGAGATGGTGATGTATATTTAACAAGTAACTACGTAACAGTCATACGAAGAAAAAAAAATAGTTAACGTAAACATTGTAAACAAATGCTCTATGATAAAGTCTGATTTTCCCGCCGTTTTCGCACATGCACCGAGATGGATGACCCAGTGCTACCAGTTAGTCCGGATCAAAATACCAGCCGAAATATGCCGTCGTACGTCAGGCTCGTATAAAAAATTTTAGTTACGTCAAAAATAAGGCAATGATTATTTTTATTTTGTACATGAAAGAGAGTTTATTAGATATTTACAATCTATACATGAGAACAATAATTAAGTTTTATCGAAGTATAAATGACCGTAATGAATGTCATGAATTAAGACTCTCGAGTCCTCCTTTTATATTGGTTACATTAAATTATGTAATAAAATTACCAAACAAACTTAGTAAATCTTTATACCTATTACACTAGTTACGTTTGAGTGGTCTTGTCGAATTTTCTTTGACGGGAGTGTTTACGCTGTGTTTTTACGTGGTTTTATTAAAATTAAATAATAACAATAATATAATAACATATGTATATTACATTTTTTTTTCTATGTTTGTTATTAGTTTATTTGGTAACAAACAGTTCTTAGATAAATCCTAAATATATTATCGTCTTAAAAACCTTTAAACTATAAAGCTTACATTTATATACACTATATCTTGTCAAGAACCCTTATATAAGTAATGCATTTTTGCTGTATTTAATAATGGCCTTACAATTCTTATACCAAGATTACTTGGTATTGTAAAAAGCAAAGACAATGGTTGAAACTAGCACTACTTTTTTGAAAAATTAATTATCAAAATTTTATTCTCGTTTAGTCGATTCAAAAGTTAATTTTCACTGTATTAAATTATCATACTTAAATAATTGAATGTTGTTTGGTTTAAAATATATGTTTTGTTATTTTTGATAATATGACTATATGAATACGTCAAACATCCCGACACCATATAATTTGTATACAAATAAAAACTAAACGTTATTATTATTATTATTATTGTTACTAGTTATTAACAGTGTATTTAAAAACATATATAAATATGAAAAATTAATAATATGAGTATAATTTATGATAAAGGATTTTATATAGGCAACTTAATGTACGTAGTATACATCACTTTCGATATTGACTGGTCGTGACGTACACTTCATCATTGTAGTCTGCAGATAAAAGCTCAAATAAATTATTTCCCGTGTATTTGGATAAGATAAATTTAAAAATATATAACTATATAGATCATTGGTAGCGTCAAGATTTAAATTTAAAAATCAAATATTGATGTTGGAAGCCGATCGCCACCGCCACCATAACCTAAATGTATTTTAGTACATAAAATCGTTTGTAATAATGTCATAAAATATATTTAAGAGGTCCCACCAGTCAATCGGTTGCTGGTCTATACTTTAGCGAGAAAACATGTCAGAGCTAGACAAAAATTAGTTCTTCTATATATTCTTGCACAACGTCATGTCATAGTGTAATAATATTGGTCTCGATGGTAATGTGTCACGTGAAAATACGCTGAATCAGCGTGTTCTCTTGTTGAATATAAAATATATATAAAACTATAAAAACATTGTTCATAAAATCATTTTCGTAGTTTGATAATATATATTGAAGTAATGTAGATTTTAGATTGAGAATGATTGATTGATTTTTTTGTTAATTTTACTTACATTAGTTAATACTTAAATATATTTTAGTTATTATAATTATTATTATTTATTAATTAAACAAAAATTAAAATTCTGTTAACATTCACTTAGAAAACTTGCCAAGGATTTCATCATTTTATTTCATATATAACCTAATACAGAAAAATTAGTTAGTGAAAAACAATATCAGTCATCACACTAAAAATTAAATATATAATTTATAATTTGAAATTGAAATACGTTAATCTATACATGTTTTAATTACAATATAATAGTTTATACTTTACAATATAAAATGTTATCATAAAAATTATAAAAATACAACTGCATTTTTGTATAAAATGTGTCTTTTTACTACGAATGCTGTCTACAAAATGTTGTGGTGATTCATCTGAGTTTTCTCTTTATGAGATAGTGTTGTCTTTGGAAGTGAAACAAGTTTCAAAGTATTCGGCAAATGCTTTAAACTTTTCATTGTTGGTGTCGTATTTAACAATTTTATTTTTTAGTGGAGGGATGAGATTACGTGGGTTCAGGATTCTTTTTGTCGCCAACTAAAGACTAGAATCGTTTGGATTTACTTTTTCAAGGTAGGTGCGATAAAAATTATATTTTAAGTTGTCAAGCTCCCACTTTACTCTCTTGTTCAGTTGGTTTAAAAAAAAAAAAAACGCAGTTGGAAAAAACGAAATTGATCCATAATCATTTTTTTTAAGGAAAAAGACCTTTTTGGCTTATAATATATGACCATTCGAATCCTCATACAATTTACTATAAGAATCAATATATAGTTCAATTTTCTTAAAAATGGAAAAAGTACGTTTTGAATTGAGGCCTCTCAATTCATATGTAGCGTATTATGTCAACTGCAACTTTTTGGTTTTCTATAGGTGTACACATCACTATGGACTGTTCGTATTATACGATAGTATTGTATACAAATATTTAATTTTTACTAGCGAATAAAACTATAATAAATAATCGTAATAGTAAGAACATTGTGATACAGTTTAAATTAAAATGAGTGAATTATAAAATTAACGTATTAGTACGATCAACAATCCGCAGATTAATTATTTATATATTTTATATATATTATATATATTTTTATATAAACTTATTGATGTTTTCACGCCCAATCAAATTTAACGTGATATAAATTGACATTATTATTATTATTATTGAACTAAGATGAGTAAGATGGATGTTTCTCAAAAATATCACGTGATAAATTATGTTATAATTTTGATTAATTAATAATGCTTCATATGAATTATGATATATAATAAAATTAACCAATTAAGAATAAAAAATTTAGTGCATTATCTACATAATTTTTTTTAAATTTCAAATAATCTTACAACATTGTGGAATTTTCCAATATAACTTATCATTTCTGAATTGTTATTTAGTAGCAATTAATTTGTATTAAATAAACTTAAGAAATGTGTAGGTACATGCAACACACTTGTTGTTCAAAATTAAACTGAATAAAAACTGCGTTTATTTAAAATCGTGATTTAGAAACATAATAAACAAGTATACAGTATGAGAAATAAAAAAAATAAATTAATGTATTAATAAAAATATGTATTATACTTTTTAATAGTTTTTTTGTTTATTAACTGTACCATTTTATTCTAATGATATTTGTCGGATTATGTTGATACACTGTAAGTCAGAGATCTTCAAACTATAGATCGCGATTCAATTTTGGGTCGTGTAAGCTTTAAGATTGGGTCACGATAAGTCTATTGTTTAAAATTTAAAAATCCATATTTATATTTATATATATTATATAATATTTTAATACATTATGTATTTTTGGCTTGACACAAAAAAAATAAAATATTTACTATTAAGAATTAAGCAATTTGAACTTTTGTCGAGCTAATAATGCTGACATGTGTCGCAAAAAATGTTTGGTAAGAAAATTGAGTCATGAGTCTAAAAGTTTGAAAACCAGTGCTTTAGCAGATAACATGCTTGTTATAACATGCTGATAACAGTAGCTCAACTATAATTGTTTTTTGAAAATTTACAACTAAACTTCGAAGAATCGAACTTTATCAATCACTAGACAACTTTATCCAATATGTTTTTAAAATACAGAAATAATGTTTTTTTTTTTTCACCTAATTATAATAATTATATCTTGTATTATAGAAGGATTAATTTTGATGTAACTTTTTGGATTAAGATAAAAGATATTTATTAGTAGAATAATATTATTTTCATAAATTCTCTTCACCCTATACATTTTTGCTATTTAAACTAATATATAAACTACTTTAAGTCTACTTTATGACTTAAAGTAAATATTGTGAGTATGGTTTTCAATAAAAAAAAAAATTAAAAAAACCCTTAATTTATTAGTAAAGTCTATGATTATAGTTTGATGAATCATAAATATAGATAAAAATAAATGATTGGCAATTTTATCTCAATAAAAAAAGTGTTTCATTGTTTATTACTTATTAGTTACATTAAAGTAATTGCTGTTCAAACTTAACTGCTTAGAATTTTAAAATTCTAGGTACCTACTAGGTATGCACACGATTAAATATGAAACAGTTTTTCTTTAATAACAGTTTAAATAATTTGATTCTCATTAATGTGAATAAGGCAAAAGGTCAAAACCAACCTATTTAATACCAGTGATTGAGCAAACTTTGCTATTAATGAATATTGCGAATGAACATTTAATTGCGAATTTAACCACAAAAAATTAATGTCCTCGTAGAATATACTTTTGTAACGCCATTGATTATATAAAGCATTGCACTGCTTATCAAATTAAGGTAATTTGTTTTAGAAAAATGAAGTTTTACATTCAATAAATTGTTGGTTTTTTTTTTTTAGGTACTAGTATTAAAAAATGTATATAATTAACACAAAATGGCTACTATATTACATATTCAATTATTTTACTAAGTCTCTTCATAAAGCATTAGAATAAATACATTTTACATTATTTTTGAATTAAGTTAAGTAAAATGTTATTTTGAATTTCTGAACGTCTACGGTTACCATTAACATAATAATATACATTGAAATAGTGGCGCCGAGTCATATAAATTTAAGTGAAGCAAATCAAAATATTTACACACTCACTCACCCACCACTAAGGATATTGTTTACCTCTAATAACTAATGACTTATGAGTTATTTATTTAATTATTTAGTACAGGTATTATGAAATGTAAAAACAAAAATACATACAAATAAAATCACCCACCCCTTTATTATATATGAAGCGATCGCTTTAGTTCATGTATAGGTTCGGCGCCACAGCATTGAACTAACTTTTGAGGCGAAATACATTTTAGCGACCAACATTTATGATTATGAATGTTTTCTTGTACAAATTATCGGGGCTCTATAACTTTTATCTGTACATTTTAATTACTATGTTATATAATGTAAAGAACTAGTCTTATAGACTTTATTACATTCGTTATTATAAAATGCATTATAGATGAATTTCAATAGTAATGTATAACAAAAATAATTATAGTCTTAATGTACCTATACATGGATAATAAGTTTTTACTGCAGTAGAATAAAATTAATAACATCAATATTATATTAAAATATCATACATTTATGAATAATAAATCTTGCAAATGTATTTTTATTGATCATTGTTTAGTTTTATTCTACTAAATATGATAACCAATTACGTTAAGGTCATTGTTTGATTTCGGTGTCGTGTCTTTTATTTTGAACTTGTATGTTTTCAGCAGTATTCGATTTTTGATTTTTACTTAAGTAATATATCAAACTGAAAAATTACACCAATAATTGGTTAACTTATTATCATAGTAATTATTTAATAATAGATTAACGCAAATAGAGAAATCATAACTTTTATGGATGGTACCTACTTAGGTACTTATAAATTATGTTATATAATAAACAATTTATTTGATGTTTATTTTGTTATTATCTTTGAAATAAATATTGAATAAATAAATAAATTAATTAACTTACTAAAAAACAAATATAAGTGGAATTGTTAGAACAATACTGATTAAAAAAAAAGCATTTGGCATCGATTCAAATGTATGGTTGTATATAAAATTGTATAATGGTATAAATCCACTCATTATCGAATTTTCCATAAATAATTTCACTGCATTCATAGTACCTGAAATAACGTAAAAATCAAAAAAACGGTGTTAAATTCGAAATACTGTAAACCTTAAACATGTCTTATATTAATTTTAATAAGTTTTGTTATCACCCAATTCATCAGTTTCAATGCATTTTGATGCTATAGAACTGGTTAATATAATAGTTGATTTTCTGAGGAGTTCTAATGGCGGTACTGTAAAAATGAATTACTATATTTTATTATTTTAATAAAGTCATTATCCCGCTATGTTGTATTAATAATTACCTAAAAACATTTGCCATGATTTAGAAACTAAAAAGTAAGCGATTGAAGCTAAAATATCAAATATAGAAGCAATTGTACCAACTAACGCATCGTTCAATCGAAACTTGTAGCTTAAAATACCTAATGCAAATAATGAGCCTGGAAAAACAATATAATTTGAAAAAAAAATGATAATAATTAAAGTGTAATCTAAAAAACAAACAATCTAGATATAATATAGTTAACTCGATCTTACCTGCTAATATAACCGATAGCTGGTAAGTAATGAAAATACTGAAGTCTAGTTCATTCCATTGAAATTTATACCTCAAATATAGATACAATATTGACTTTTCTCCTAAAAATATGATTTACTTGTGTTGTTAAAATTAATTACAGATGTCACTTATATTTCCAAATAATAAAAATTGAGACATGTCTGAAGAACCAAGTAAAACTATGAACATTAGTTATTATTTTTTATCAAAAAGTAAAAATACAATCGATTTTTTAAGTATTGGTTTTGTGAAAAAAATTTTTGTTTTTCTCCGTTATTTTGAAAAGTATTAGAAATTTTTTTCTATAGTTGAATAAAAAAATAATATTTAATAAAATCCCTTTCTTAATGATTTCATTATCAGGTAAAAATTATAATTATAAGTATTTTTCATTTTAACTATACATCAATGATATAAAATAATATATATAATAATCATCCAAAATGATTTGTATGTCGAATGAAAAAAAAATTATTAATTTATACAATAATATGATAATTTTCGGGATTTTAAAGGAATTCTAACTTCAAGCGTTTAAAAAAACATTGTGGGTTTATGATAAACTTTTTTTTTCAATATATATATAATATTATCAATTATTATAAATAAGAAAACAAATTTTAGAAAAATTAAATTGTTAATAAATGGTTTAAAAATGATCAAAATAATATCTTGTTTAGAAAATTATAATATAAACCATTTTCTTAAAAAATCGAAAAATCCTTAAAACATGCAAATATATATATATTTTTATAGATATAAGCATTTGAATGAAATAACATATTTTAATAATAAATAGCGATGATAGTTATTCCGTTATATTTCAAAAATATTTACGTGTTTTATAAATTTTACCATACGCAATAATATTTTCATAATAGATACCTATGTAGATTAGTTTAAATATTTTACATGTTTGTGTGTATGGACTTATTCACAATGTTTTACACTTCCACGTAATTAATGATAGAAAATTCGTGATGTACCTAAATATTATAATCATACTGTATTACACCCAGTGCTATAGGTATATATTTTTATAAAATGTACCTAGGATACTTAAATTATAACTATTATATACAAACATAAGCATATTATATTTAAAATCTACTAAATATTTATATTGAATAATTTTATACATAGTAAGTTAGATGATTACGGATTACACTGTTTACTTAACATTTAAATATATTGTTTCATGAAATCTAATCGAAGTTTATTAGTTTGATCCTTCCTTAATCTTTTGAATGAGACGACGAGTAGGTTGATCTTACAATGACTTAAATATGCTATCTAGTTTTTTTTTTTTTTTTTTTTTTTTTTTTAATCATAATCTTTTGAAATAATAAAAGTACTTCAAATTTTAACACCATACAAATTTTAAATTGTATCTAGTTGGCAATTTGTGTAGTCAATGTTAAAAATTCTCAATATTTTTATAAGTTACAGGGAAAAAATAAATTTTACAATATTACTAGTCTTCTGATTTGTAAGAATGTTAGAATGGATGACATAATGTTATATTCAAAATATTTAAATATTTTTAGCACAATTAAAATATATTCAAAATTTTTGATTTAAATAAAATCTCAGATCGTAAAACATGTTTATAGCGTAGGCTTGTACTTACTTAAGTCTTCTTCTATGGTATTAAATAAACTCGTATTTATTCATATTTAAAAACACTGAATTGTGCTATAAACACACAAATACAAAATACTATTTTTTCAAATATTCATTAAACGATAAAATTTGTTCTTACCATTTTGGAATTTTATAACCATATAACTATATAAAACCTATTCATTATAGTAATATAGTACCGACGTTTAAGCATGCACAACTCACCGTGTAGTATCGAGCTCGTTAGCGGCGCACAAACAATCAAGGTAAGACAGAGGATCAGCCTGCCATGGCCATCACGTCGCTTGGTCATCACTAGGTAACAACGGCGGAGAACTTCTAACGGGTTGACGGCCTGGACGACGTCTTGGGACAACGGCTGTTGGACACCTCTGTCGTGGATGAACAGGAAAGTGAAGACGAGCGCTATCAGGCCCAGGACGATGGACACCACGTACGCGGCTACGAAACCCATTTTGACTATTACGAACCCATAGGCGAGCATTCCCAGAATGCAGCTGAAGGCTATGGTCATGCCGACCATGCCGTACTTGAACGTCCGCCACCGGTCTGTGGTCGTGTCCGCCGCATACGAATTGATGCCGTTGAACAGCATCGGCAGGTCGCCGGTCAGCGACAGCGCGGCCGTTTGCGCGATGGCCGTCAGCGTCGGCGACACCGACCACACGACCGTGCAGTACAGCGACAGCGCGTCCGCCAATATCTGGCCGGCGATCGGCAGCACGATTAGTGGCCGACGGCGGCCGCGTCGGTCGCTCCACGTGCCCGCGGCCATGGCCATCGCGATGGGCACCAGGTTCTGGGCGAAAGACTTCCAGCCGACGATGGGCGCCACTACGTGTTGCGCCGCCGCTTCGTCCGGGCACTTTGAGCCCACCTGGCTAGCCATCGCGCCCGTAGGGTCGCACGATTTGTACAGCAGCAGATTGGTGCTCAGGTTCGACGAGAACACTTTCGCAAGGAAGATGAACAGCAGCACCGGTTCCACGGACACGTGAAGCGCCGTCACGGAACGTTTAAACGCCATCGCACGTAACTTCAGTCAGTTCAACGACGGCGAAAATCGGTTTGTTAATGACGACGCTGTCGTCGCTGTTACACTTCACGACGATTACGTGTCAATCGTTATCGCTTCGGCAGCGACAACTTTTGTAATAGGCATATCATAAAATATGTCTTTCATGGAATTGTACATTATTGTATGAGACGAGGAAATAAATTTAAATCGTTTTCTTTTAAATTAAATCGTTAAGTGTCGTTATTTTGTGTTTACCCTCGAAGAATAAGTTATTTTATTCATAGGAATTTTCATAGAACACGTCAATCGAAACATTCGAAACTCATTGGTTTTCTATGGGTATACATAATATTATGGTCATACGGATTGTATAAAAAGTAGTTAATTTCTACTTGTGAATAAAAACACAATTAATAACCGCAATGCAACTGTAATTACATAATACTACTGTTAATTTTTATATGTGTGAATTATAATATTAATGTATTCGTGTATTGTATGATAGATAATACACAATTTTTATAATTATTTACAAAAATATTATTTAAGCCCACCAATGTTTTCGTGCCTAATCAAGTTTAACGTGTTGTACGTAATTTGATTTTTTTATTATTATTGAACTAAGAGTGTAAGATGTACAATGTGATATTATTGTCATTTATCGGAATTTTATAAGCTGGTTATCGGCTAGTTATCTTGATTTATCACATATCATCTTCTCTTAGACAAAATAATCGTATATATTTTCTGTCATGTTACTGCATAATTTTGAAATTTGTGACCTTATATGTTTTTATAATGGAATTAGCCATTATGTATAAACAATTTAATAAATCGATTGATTTATTATTACCTAAAAAGATGACAATAAATTATTTTTAAGCTTCGAAGAATATAACAGACGGCAAGAAGAAGTAGAACATTTCAAAACTTCTTTAAATATACCGAGTTTTAAGAAAATTCTTAAATATTATTACAATATTCGTAAGCACAATTTAACAAAAATAAGTGGGGAAGATTATTTTTATAAAAGCGTAAAAGATATTGCTGATTTACTATGTAATTAACGAGGATTTGTTTGATATTCTAAATACATGTTATACTTTTATTTTTCATGGTGGTTGAGATAGGACATTATCCGAATTTAAACAAAAATATAGCATTATTACAAAAGAAGCTATTATAAAGTATTTGAAACTTTGTATCCACTGCTAATTATGTCTACTATATTATCCTTATATTTTTGTTATTGATGACATATTTAGTGTATAATAGTAATGTTTTTGCAGATAATCCAACTTACGAACAACATTTCAGCAAAATGTCATCGACTGTGTCATCACTTATCAGGATTGTTTTACTACTCAACAAGTTAGTTACGAACAACAGAGTGTGTTGTTCGTCATTTCTAGTGAATACTTTTTTTCATTGCGGCTTATCTACTGTTCTGTCTGATTAGTGTCGTTTTTTCCTTGTAAAATGTTTATCGTTATCTTTACTGTTAACTATCATCACTGTTTCTGTTAACCACAACTTTGTTTTTTATCATCACCACCTACAGACATTTTCAACACCGTTTGTCACTACCGCTAACACCGTCATATTTAATAATACATTATATTATATTAGTTTATTTATTAATTATTCTATTGTGTACTATCAAACTGTTATAGTACATTGTATCAATAGTTTCTACAACTAACCAGCATACTCTTAGTGCCTAATATGTATACCATGTATACTTAAATGGACTAACCAATAAGTGGTCACGTGTTTGAAAATAATACGTTCGAATGCCGTATGTTTGAACGTCAAGTGTACGAAAAATTGTCTGTTCGAAGATTATATCTTCGAAAGGTCGTATATTCAAATTTATCGATGAACCAAACTTAACAAAAAAAAAAAAAAAAAAAAAACTAATCGCATTTTAATAATATTGAATTTTATTGAATTTATCTTTATTGATATCACGTGGTGAAAGCATTGTAGATATTATTAAAGTTCTTTTATATTTGTCATCTATTAATACGGTTGATACATTACTCCAATATTTATTACAGTATTAAATTATTTTTATTTATTAACTATACTATTTTATTATCATGATGCTATTTGTCAGATTTTATTGGCTTACTGTTAGTGATGATTTGAATCAAGATAATAACAACAACTCTACCTATAGCTCTCTTTTGAAAATTTACAACGAAACTACGAAGAATCGAACTTTATCAACCGCTAGATCACACTGTCTTTTATATTTTTTAAATATAAAAACAATATTTTGTTTCACCTGAATGTAATCACTTACTGACAGTATTATAGAAGGATTTATTTTTTGATGTAATTATATAAATCAGGGGTCGGCAACCCGCGGCCCGCAGAGCAATTTTTGATGGCCCTCACAAAGGTGGTTAATTTTTGTGTTTTATTTTTGTTCAATAACATTTTTCATATAATTTTCAATATTATATAATTCTTTTTCCTTTATAAATAAAATCTAATCTAACCGTTTCATAATAGCAATACAATTATAAGTATTATATCATAATATGTAATTTTTTTTTTTAATGTGGTCCTTGATGAACAATTGAAAAAAAAAATGGCCCGTGTGGTTAAAAAGGTTGCCGACCCCTGATATAGATAAACAATAAAATAATTTATTCGTAGAATAATATTATCTTTATGAAAATAAAAGTTCCACATAACCTTAGTATTCTCTTTGCTCTATTCATTTTTGCTATTTAAACTATTATATAAATTATTTATTAAGCAAAATGATGTAAACATTGTAATTATGTTTTTCAATAAAAAAAAAAACTCTTAGTTTATTACTAAAGTCTATAATTATTATAGTTTGATAAAACTAAATAATTCAAAAATGTATTTCAATAAAAAAAGTATTTAATTTTTATTACATATCAGTTATATTAAAGAAATTAATTAATTTTTTTTTTTTAAACTTAAGCCCCGCAACTAGGGCTATTAGCTGTTTATAGGGGTTATAAAATATGGTAAGGGGTAAGGTTGGTACGGTAGGTTGTATTTTTACGATTGTTACAGTTGATAGCAAACACGTGTATGTGTGGCAAGGTTTTTAACCACTATGATCCCGAGTGGTCACCCATCCGGGAGCTGGTAGCTGTGGCCATTACTTACTCTCAGTCGCATTCCGCGACTGGTAGCAGCCAACGCGCCATGCCAAGCCACAAATACATTTTACTTCATGGATAAAAGTTTAGATGTTTGAAAAATAATCTAAATGGTAATTTTTAATTTACAAATTACCTAAATTGATATTAATAAATATTTATTCATTTCTAATGAAATACAAATATAAACAGTCGTATAAGAAGTTGATTTTTGATAATGTTCTAATAAATATTTTTTTTTTATGAAGTTTAAACTATAGCCAACATAAAAGTCAACACCATAATATTTTTTGTCACAGTATAGTTTTATTTTTTACAATATAGGTATTTATCAATTATAAAATATCTCAATAATTATTGTTTATGTTTATTATTAATTGAATTTTTAAACTTAGTAGGTACTTATTTTGAATGTATAGCCTGAAGATATTACGAATAATGTTTAATTATTAAGAGTTTATGAAATTTAAGAGGTATTCTTTTGACGATCCGAGAATACGGATGATATAGGTACTACGATAAGCAGATTACATACATAATATGTATTTATTAAAGCACATTAATGCGGTAAGATTTTTTTATAAATTTATTTTTGAGAATTTAGAGAAAATTGAACTAATAATAAGAACAATAAATTAATAAATAAAAGTAAAGTAAGTAGATAAAATATCTAATAATTCAAGAACGAAAAAAATGTATTTATTCAATGAACATTAGACAGTGTACATATGTTGACATAAATATACCAGGTAATCTTATAAAATGTAAATACCTAATAATTTATATTATATTAAAATAAAATGTTTTAAAACAATATCAATTATTAAAGTTTATAGTATAGAATGGTACTTAAACAATCTCTTTCAACTAAAATTCGTATACTATATTATAAATCATAATAGGAATTATTCATATACTTGAAATTTTTCATTTTTACAAACATTTATTATACATTTACAATTCATAAATATTTCAATATTTAAATTGTCTAAATAATGTAATTAAACCATTCATTATAAATTTATCAATACCATGTAAAGATACCTATCAAAAGTTTAAAAATAAAACAATCTAAGTAGAATATATACTACGAAAATTAGCAAGAACATGATAATATATTATATTATGAAAGTATTAAGACTTACAAACAAATAAATTCAAATGATAGATGTTTTAATAGTTTTTAATTATTAATATTCACTGTAAATTTCTTTTATTTTTATTTTGGTCAAATGCGTAATAAGATGTTTATTTTTGAGAAAAAAAATTAATAATTGAATATAAGGATCCTCATTATTGGTTCTTATTGCAATTTGAAAATATCAAAATTATATTTTGTACAGTTTTTTATTACACGTGTATTAGTAAATACTCCAACAAATATCCTACTTCATAAAATAAAGAAGTTTTATAGATTTTAAAAATAGAAAATTATAAATTTATGTATACATTTGCAACATAAACTAATTTTAATGAACCAATTACTATTACCAAAATATATAAAATAAATAAATAAAATTGGAACTAAAAAAAAATCAAAAGTTTTTCTACCAAAAAATATTGATACTGATTCTGATTTAGGTTCCAAAGTAAAACAAAAATATGTTTCAAAAAGGTTCTGGTTTCTATATTTTCAAATGGTTCCGTTTCAAATACCAGTATTTTTAATTTCAGTTCTAAGCCTTGATTTCAAGTTTACTTTTTATAACAATAGTTACAAAATACAATTTATTATATTAATGAAACTTCATATTATAGTTAGTATTGTTTCATGTTTAGAGTTAAAACGTTTTTAAAATGATCTATTTATAGTTTCTTAAATTATTTATAATTTATTTCAAATTTATTTTAGTTAATATACAACTATCTGAAATCAAGGTAATTGAAGCAAGGTGATATAAGTTTTTAATAACCGGTCTCGATTTCCTGAGTTGACGATTAGCTTATTTTAAACCATGTATTATAATGAAATATTGCACGGCGTAGCGTATAGACAATATAGGTACAATACTAATCATTTGTTGAGAACAATAATAATTATCAACACAGTTAATAAGTTTGTAATAATACATCATTAAAAAAAAAAAAAAATTAATACAAAAATTTGCACATGAATAAAAATGAAAAAATAATAAATATTGCAAGAAAAAAAAACAACAATTATTATAATAAATAATACATATATTATAATTTTCATAATAATACCATACACATATTTTAAAATAACTTATTTTGTCCTTAAAAATAAAACAACATTAATTATATTTATATTGACTAGGTACATTTATAATATAATACAGTCAAACATATTATATGATATTGTAACAAATAAGCATGTTTGTTAAGAATATTGCATCGAACTACGTAAATGTATGTAGACAACATACATTATACATATTATATAATTCGACATCAGCGCATTGTTTAACATTAATCAGAAATAAATGCTTCAGATTTATTGTTATCTCGTCGAATTCGTATTACATTTTGCTTTTGAACTAATAATAATACGTATAGTACAAAAAAAAAATTGTAATAATTAAACATAATATCACAGCGTGTATAGTTGCTAAACATCATTCCATTACCTATTGAATTTCAAGGTTCAACGATATTGTAGATAGCGATTTGCACTAAGCAATAATCTCTGTGGACATATAACGTTTTTTTCCATTGTTACTAAAGGTACATACAATATACTATATACATTTATAAAAATATAAAAAAAACTTTATTTTTATTCTTATCAGTATTTATAGATCAAATTATTTGCGCGAGAGACTTTAAAAATTTACAATGTACATTGTGCAAACTTTGAATTACAAATCGTGGGACAAAAATGTGTATTATACTTACTTATTAGTATTATATTTAATGCAAACATAATTTTGTCTTAATCTCAGGGTAATTCTTATCCTAATCGAAACCGGAACCATGTTTTATGGGAGTCATCAGTTGAACGTCGAGGTTTTTTGATCGTTGGAGTTAATAATTCACTAGCTACATAAAAAAAATAAATAATAATATTTTAAATCACAAATCATAATGATTAAGAAATTTGGATTGGATTATTTTTGTTAGTCATTGTTATATTTGTCATGTATTCATTCAATATGTAAATATTTCAAACAAGATAAATTGTGCTATTCAGTATGTTTTAGAGCAATGCTATTAGTATAAAGTAAGTTTCTAAAAGTCTACAAAGTATTTATATTATATAAACAGTAATTGTGATTTTGTTCAAAATTTTTATCCGATTTAGTTCAAAATTGAAATTTATATGGCTGGTATTAATAGGTTCTAAAACATTTCGAAGGATTCTCTTATGCTATTAATTATAAATTTATATTACTCATTCGTAATGATTATAGCTTCTGGAATACAAATTAAATATAATTAACTATATTGTGTAAATCTTTTATTGTTTCGTTTAAAACAACCGTTAGAGGCATTATTAACAATGTTATAATGAGTACTTATTTCTGTTTATGATCAATGGAACAATAAACAATAGGATGATGGAACTTTAACATATATACAATTTTGTAACTAATCAAATTGATGCAAAGATCTAAGTGGAATCAAATCGTATAATGTTTGAAATGCCCACGTGGCTCAAAACTATCAACAATATAAAGAAAGTAGCTCTCGAAGCATAATATAAATACTTTACTGATCACGTTTTTATACTATGTCTTATTAGTATTAATAAATACTATTTAAATATTTTATTTATTAACGATTTGTGTGGAATCGTAGGTTAGATAGTATTGATATTCAAGATATTTTTTAATCATAATACGTATAGTCGTATAGAAAAATATAGAAAGTGTGAATATTAATAAATGCGATACATATTATGATTCATATACTATACATTTATACGGTATATTATGAATATAGGTACATATATTATACTACGTCATACGTATTTTGGTAATGCGAAAAATCATTTGAAATAACACAGTTCAACGTGTATAAAAATGTATGCATACATTTTTTTATGCATTAGGAATATGTATTTCTAATAAATAGAAAATATTATTTTTATTTTTAATATTATACATTATGTTTAATTCGCCATATTGTCCCTTTATACTTAGTTAAGTTTTATGAGGTTTGATTTATTACCTATAATTGGTTTTTGTTTTATAATCATATGTACTGTATGTTTATAAAAACTAAAAAGAGATAATTTCTTACGTTTTTTATTAAATTGCCGTTGCAGACGTCGAGTATTCCACTTTCGTTTCACTTTCATGACGTTTGTCACCATCCATGCAGCAAATTTCTCCTTGTAACTGCTATCCTTTGCTATCACTCGCTCCCATGCCTGTATTTCTAATTTCATGTCAGCTTCCATTCTCAGCTTAAAGTCTGTACTGTTCGTATAAACCGAATCGTGTAATCGGCACGCTTCGTCTAGCTTATTGATTCCTAGCTGACCACGAGAAATCCTTTCCAAAAAGTCCGTTCCGGGTCCACAGAAATGATAACCAGGGAAATGAGCTATATGCAAAAGATTTCAACAACATATTATATTTTATTATATACAATTTATACAAGAACAATAAAAATTTTATGAGTCGACAATGGTCTTTATTCCAGTTTTATAATTTAATACATTCTTGTTATGTTATATGTATAATACTACACAATAGACGTACAACTCCAATATTAGATGTCAGATTTCAATGTTTGTAGAATATATTTTTTATTTACGCGTTTAGAAAGATGTTTTATCAAATATATATTATCGATTATTTTTCTGATAAAAAATAAATTATAACCCATGATTTTTTATGAATAAGTAGGAACACACTATACATGTCAGTTTAAAAAAAAAAAAAAGCTCAAATATTAAATTATTATTATGAAGTGATAGTATATACTCGTACGTACAAATAAAAAAAAATTGACTAGTTGTTTTTTATTAATTTAAAATTGTTTGTATGTATAGGGATTGCTGTGCAAAAATTTATTACAGAAATACAATCATAGAATCTTTTTAAATAACCATCAAGCGAATATTGAGTAAAATACAAGTACACAATCTTAAAATCGTTCGTGTAATTATTTATATATTATTTAGCATATATTACATTATTGTTACTTTATGATTTTTAATATTATGATACTATGAAAGTATCTTACTGATAAATTATTATTTTTTCTTACTTTCTCTTGATTTTGTCTGTCCATGGCAATCAAATGTAAACCAAATTAAAAAATTTACTAAAATTAATTTCAAAAACATTGAATAAATTATTTTTCAAACCGTTAAAATAAAAAAAAAGCGTGAAAAAAAAATTATCCACATGAACTACGAAAATAACTACGATAGTACCTGTAAGGTACTATAATTAGTTGTAGCCTAGGAGCGTCATGCGCTTCGACCACTGCTACGTCTATGTGAAAACTAACACGCGATCTCAAATGTATTACACTCGTGCATGTATTCACTAAACTGGTTCCAAATCGACTTTGTGTGTATTATGAAGCTATTATATTTAAACTTCAAAATGACCGCCTTGGTATGTTACAAATATTGTATGTACAATAATACATTTTATGGAGTGATTTTCCAATCATGTGGGTTTCCCACGCACATGTATTGTGTAAAAAAAATCTAAGCGCATTGCAATTTTTCAGATGATATTCACAACTATTTACGATATGTTCAACTCTGACGGAATGCGTGCACATAATACACTTTATATTTGATGCGTAAAATATTTGACTATTTTTTTTTTTTTTTTATCTAGCTGTTCAAGCCGTATCACCAACTGTACTCAGAGATTTGAATTTTGAATAGATACCTATCAAATTCCATTATTATTTTTTCAAGAAATTCCCCGAAAAGGTAAAACGAAATAAAATGACTAGAAAATATGTCTGTAAATATTTTCAATATGTAATGTGGTTTTGTAAATTGTTATTGTTTAATATGTGTACAGTGTACACATACAATGTATTAGCATTTATTGAATTTACGAGTATGAGTATCTATGATACATATATGAACAGAGATAGTTAAAATCTTAAATTCATTCATAGTAATTAGTAAACAATTGAACTTAAATGTTGAGTTATTTTACACAGGATAAAAGTGAATTTTAAATGTTTGAAATGATTACTACAGAAATAAAACAATAAAATAACTTTAAACTGATTAGAAGTTGATTTAATTTTTAATTATTTTTTTTTTTTAACGAACACGAATGAGTTATTTTAAAGAATAATTTGTTATTTATTATATTTTTATGTTGTATTTTTATTTGTTCTAGGTAATTAAAAAAAAGTGAATAACATAAATTCATTAAGAAGATTTATTTAAAAAAAAAATTTTTGTACGGTTTTCTTTTAAAAACTGTGGGCAAAAAATATGATATTTTGATTATACGTGATAGATTAGTTCACACATTAAAATTTTATTATTTTATCTATTATTAATGTTGTTATAATAAATTTGTCTATAATATACATTACTGTTACAAAAAAAAAAAAAAAAAAATTATATTATTTATATTTTTTCTATGTTTATATTTTTTAAGTACTATGAAACATTACATTCTGTATGAATAGAATACGATAAGTAATTGCCAGTTGACATAAAGGTGTTATATTTATAGAAAAGAAAAAAAGAAAAAATCTTGAAAAGAGACCGTCACTCGGCAGTTGATGATACGCTTATTTTTTTATGAGTTTAATATAATATACTTATTAATTATACGTTGAATTTTTAAGATTTATATATTTCAATGTTTATAGATTATATGTAGGAGTCTGTTTATTATTATTATTTTTTTTTGTTAAAGAATAACGAGGTATCTTACTCCTAAGTCATGAGTTCCAATTTTTATTTTAAATTTATTCCAGCAGTATCTTTGTCAATACATGACTACGTTTTAATTTTATCGAGTAGATAATTTACATAAAGGGCGTGGAAAATGTTTTAAATTTAGTTTTTATTTTTTGACAATAAATTATAACGTATGTATTTATTTACATAAAATCACATTAATATTTTTCCTATTCTTTTTTTTTTCTTTTTTTTGGCAACAAACGCATGATTTTGACACGCAATTATTGTCAAGTGCTGGGTGGAGTGCCAAAAAACAATTGTACCTATAATATAGTTGTAAACACTTGTGTATTATAATATTTAGCACAACATTGAATACATGCATACATATTACGCTTTTGTATTCTAATACGAGTGACCTGTAACTAAGTCCCTACAATTATATCAGATTTCGAATTTTCAAACTATTTTTAGTTTAAATTTTCCCGTCATTCATTCCAATGAATAATTACTGTGTGATATTTACATAGTTTTTAAATACTATTTAGTTTTTTATGACAGATTGTGAGCGGTAATACCAATACGTGCGATATGAAGCCACAGAATGCGGTTCGTTGACACCTAGTGCGGTCGTGAATTGAACTACAAATGTAAATCGGCATACAGAACGATTGGTGACCGATGCTGCGTTCGTTTCGTTTAAGCTATCGGCGTCGGCAAATGACCGAACACCTCTAAATAGTATCATAATATTTTACTACCGAGGCCTTGGACGGAGAATAGATATAATTTTCATTAATATCAGTTTGTTATAATATATTATAAGTACAAGCGTTTGATCGAGGTCGGCTTCTCGAGTGACCCGACACGAGGTCACGTAGTGCGCCGGCCGACCCGATTCACGGTCAACAACGTTCGCCATTTTTTTCATAATATTTAACTCGTAAGCTCCAGGCGATCGTCACGACTCGATAATATTCCCAAACGCTGGATATCGGTATGGGTATTTATGCACTCACTTCGTTGATTATATTCACTAAATACGCACTTGTACTCGAGTGATATGATTCGGGACTTGTGGTGATGAAGTATGAAACAATTTTTATATTTTTATTGTGATCATTGTAGTTTTATTTTAGTGATATTTTTTCGTGATTTTGAAATTTTATAAAACATCACAAATAAAACTAAGTACATCATGATAAATTCTCTTTAGTAATTTTGAGTATTTTTAATATAAGTCCAATTTATTTTACTAAACTTTAAAAATTGAGCAAATTATTCATCAAATTGGTGTACACAATTTTTTATTTGATTCAAAACATAACTTTTCGAAAACTATAGAAAATGCGTGTTGATAACTAAATTTTCTCTTTTCGTAAAAATTTGTTACTAAATAAAAGTCATAACGTCAAACAATAATAATATGTTTAAAAAACTTTAATAAAAATGACTGGACTGGTTGAAGGTAATGAGTATTGGTTTTTTAGCAACCAAGTGCATTTTTGCGTAGTGTATGTATAATTTATAAAAACAATAATGACGTTTGATAAAAGATAACGATGGTACAAAGATAATCAAATATTGTATAATTTTAACTACAACTTATATATCAGTTTTATCATTTATGTATTATATAATAATATTATATCAATAAATGACAGCTCATATTAATTTAATGCAGCAATCGTATCAACTATGTCTATGCACGTAAGGATTTAGTTCATTTTGAGATAAATTTGCTTGCATAGTAACGAGTATTATAATTTATGAGTTAAAATAACCGTGCCGATTACTGATAGTAAACCATATTTACCATATAATCACATTTTAAAATTTTAAAATAGCAAATCATGTTTAGAACTATCGATAATCTATTTAATAATTTTATTCCGTATTTGTGACAAAAATAAAGAAACTGCAACACACCTTCCACAATATAAGGTTTAATCAAAATAATTTTCCACTTCCTTCTTTTTACATAATAATAATGCTACTTGAGGGATATATCAACTAAATACTTCCTTTTATAAGTATATTAATGCCCTCCCTCCCACGTGATGATTTATTATTTGATTAGTAACTGATGCTAAGATTATAAATAGCAAAATTTATATTGTTTTTATTTTTATTCAATTTAATAAAAAAAGCCTATTATCTCATCGTGTTTATAGTATAATATTATTTTAATTTAAACTTAAATCTTTAGAAAAAATTGTTTAGCTATGCTTTATAATGCTTTATATCTTATCAAAAATTGATAATTTAAGTATTCAATAAAAATGTCAAATTTCTACGCTAAACATTTTTTGAATTATAAAAATTAAATCAAAATAAATTTATTAAAAATCGGGGCTCCTAAATTCTTGTTTTTCTGTCACTTTTTGTTAACTTTTCAGTTTTTATATACATTTTAACATGCACTGTAATTGTAAATGACAAAAAACCAAAAGTTGCCACATTTAAAATTTAATTTAAGTTCAATTTTTTTTAGAAAAAATATTGAATTTAAAAATTTTCCGCAAATAACATCGTTGATAACTGCTTAGAAAGAAGAAAAATTTATAAAGAGTGGGAACGTGTTTTTTATTTACCACAGAAACGAGAAAAAGGAATATGAACGTGTTCCTTTTTTCTAGGAACTTTTTTAAAATTGTTTGTAATACAATAAAATATTATAATATTATTGCTTCAAATATCTTATATATACATATTTTATGTAATTATAACATAATAGCATAATTTTTATATCTAATTAAAATATGAAAGTTGATTCAAAAGAAAAGTTTGACAGTCTAGAAAATACTGGAACGATTTTTTTTTCGAAAGAAAACTACAAATAATGACGTATTTGATAAATAAATATTGTATTTTTATATCTATCTAGATTTATTAAAAATATTAATATGTATTGTAACCTATTATTTATTTTAAATGATAATCACGAATATCAAAATATATAATTATTATTCATCAATATAAATAATTATTTTTTTTTTATATTTTAGTTTTTTTTTCTTTATTTTTATTTTTTATAGTTATTTTCATAGTTAGTTTCATGTTCACTTTGAATGTTTTAATGCTCGTGGATTAAATTTTAAGTATACATCATTTTTTTGGATACTATTTCCGTAAACATTCTATTTTTGGATATACAAATAATATACATAATAAAATATTGAATTAAATTATTAAAATTTTATAATATTAAATAATATGTAATATTCTTATATTATAATTTAAAATTTTTGAATATGGAATCTGTGAGCAAAATTTAATAAATTACTATTAATTTGCTTACAGAATTGTCCCATTGGTGTAATTATGACAAAGGGTCGATTTACTTTCCTTTGAAAAGCTTCAAATCTGATACTATTATATATTATGATTGATTCTATTATAGTGGACATAATATTATAAATATGAAATCCTATGTATTTGTTAAATGTTAAAAAAAATTAAATTATTTGGGTTTTTATTTCATTTTAAGCTGCAGGGTTCATCTTTTTGTTTACTTCAATTATTTTATTTTAAGTTTACTGTCTATTAATTTGGTACGAATTAATTTTCACTTATCAAATTTATTTTATCTAATATGGAGCATATCGACTTATCAGAATAACTTAAGTATTCATAAATT